CTGGGAAAACGATAAAACAACTTCCGTCTCAATATGCAGATTAGAAATATGAGAATTAATAGAAGTTATCACAAATATCGGTTAATATTTCCGTTCCTATCTTGATGGATCGTTTCGGGATCACAATATGGCAATGACTCGGTTATAAGTAGAGTTAGAAAGATATTTTAACAACGTATAGTTGACTGCCTCGTTGGCCGAGAGGTCGCAAGTGCGACTGCCGGGCAAGGGGTCTCGGTTCGATTCCAGGGTCGGGCAAAGTATTACTGGGTAGAAAATGTAAGTAGTAGCAGGGAAGCTAGAATTGTGCCCGGTATATAGCGATAGGCTAACCTCCTATTACATAGAATTGATAACATAAATAGTAAAAAGTGGGTGTTACATTGTACAGTGGCATTAAGTGCCGTAGATAAGTGCAGTAGATAATGTGTACCTCTGCCTACCCCTTCGGGGATAAAAGGCGTGATGTTCTGTTATCTATGTATAGTTTACTTAAACTGTCAAATACCAAGCGGTCACCGGTGACCGCGACCTATTGTTCTATAATTGTCTAGGTAGAGGTGTACCAATACAATGTGCTACAATGCTTACAAATATAATAATGTGATGTTATCTGGTCCCGCAGGAGTTACTATTATATTATCAAAGGTCTGCATTTAACCGCATGGCTGCACTAACAGCGATAAGATATTTATGATAATGTAATTTTAATGTAGTTATTGAATCGTTATGTTGAAGTGAATTAATAAAACAAAGTTTTCATTTTGTCTATCTTTACAAGATGTAGAAAAAAGAAGAGAGAAGAAGAAAAAATAGATATTTAACTGGAAAGTAAACATTTGAAGATTTAACCTGGGTACTAAAATTTCTTTAGTTTTGTTGGTTTCTTTATAGACTGCATATTTAGAAATCGCAACAGTATCGTAACTAAATATTTAGACTAGTCTAGATCTAAGATAATAGTTCCCGCTAGCAGTGAAGCCCCACCCTCCCGGATACATGCAATTGTTTCGGTGCACGCCGTGAATGTTCGCGAGTGTATGCGCACGCGCAACTACTTTAGCTTGGAATGACCCCTAGGATTCTAGATGTAAGATACTAAGATAGATAGATATACGTGATCCCGATTGAGATTTATTGTACAATTTATATGGTTTGTAATAATAATATTCTATTCCGTAAATAACATCTATTGGAGAATCTGATTCGTGGTGGAAAGTATTAGAACTCTGATCTTTTTATTTTCTTGTTATTAAAGTACTACTTACAATAAAAACTGTCTGTTTGCTGCGCCGTACATACAAATTGATTAACAAGACTCTCTAAGTGACATTATTGTCCTTGCACACTTTTGAATTATTAGGTGCTAAACCTCTATCGTGCAATAAGGAAATTATAAAATTATGTTTTTGTGAATAAATTCCGAGGAAATGGAAAGATTAATAATAATGGAAGGAAGCACAATAGTCTTCGCTAAAGATAATATTTGGCGGACCACTTGGATTTAGCAATCATAATATCATATTTTTATAACTTATCTTTTATTTATTAATGAGGACTATTACAATCAATCCTTGTGAACGGAAACGTTGATATTATTTTCTTGAAGATAAGAGTCCGGGGATTTTATTTAGGAGCGGAAATTGGTGTATTTGGAACGTGCATTTTTAATTATCACGTCGCAGTCGGCTTCTTTTAGGGGCTCAGTATTTTGTGATACTGACAATAATAATGTACGACTGAATTTAGAACACTGAGTTTTACGTACAGTTTGCGTTTTAAGTTAGAGGCTGTATTTGGAGAGTATCCACTATACGTAGGTAATGTAGGTGAACCATGTTTGTAGGGCGCCAGTGCGGGCGTGTGCCGCTGTTGACACGTGCAGACGTTGCGAGAATTAGTATTGTTGAACACGTGCAAATTGTGGCATTTGTGTCCGAGATATTTGCGTGGAACAATGACCGCGATACTGTGTTTGTAAACCAGCTCGTTTTGGAAAATGAAGAGTTTGCACCCATATGGGTTATGGGGTAATATGATTGATATTCAATAAGATACTATGATCTACATTTTGGAATGAGCACCTAGCTTCACTGACGGACTGACTGACAGACTATTATTTATTTTGTATTTGTTGACGTTTCAAAAGTACCAAAGTATAGTTTAATTGAACTAAATGCTTTGACTTTGACTTTGACATCTTTATTTGTCGTAGGAGCAAGGAGGTTTAAGACACCCGCTTGAGGGTGCTTATGCATGAGAAGCGGGCGTCTTAATCTACCAATGGCAAGTATCAATGTGACTTTTCCGAGTTATAAGTACTTTCTAAGATTATTTAGACACCACTGACAAACGGTGAAGGAAAACATCGTGAGCAAACCTGGGCTTATAATTTCGAATTTTAGGTTTGAAATCGGCAACCACATAGACTTTCGACTGACACTCAATCTTTCTTCGTGTGAGAAGAGACTTTATTCAGGCTTTATATTTATAGGCTGTTGATGATCTTCATCTTAAAGTACAGTTTGCAGCTGAGTCAAGAATAAATACTGAGAGACTAATATACTAGGTGTATGGAGATACAGAGGGTAACACACAACTCATCCAAAACTTGGAATCATACAGTTCTCATGGCATCTGTAGACACAGACATAGACTACATTATGCTGTTTATTGATACAGGAAACAAAAGACGATCGGTATCCAATTTCAAAGTTAGTACCTCAAAAATAAGTAACGATAAAAAATAACTACAGGTCGTTCTGTACAGGCTAAAGGACGAATTGCGACTGAAAACTATAGAACTTTCCAGAAATTACAATCTATGCTTTTTTATTTTTTTCTCATCTCAATGGATCACATAAAAAATATCAAAACATTAGTAATGAATGAAGTACCTATTACACGCTTGCGCTCGCCCATCAAACACTCAAGGTGATCCACACGAAGTATGCGGTACTTACGTATACATAACCACCTTGAATTCATACAATAATATTTTTACTCACTCGGTATTGGACACATTATCCGAAACTTGATAACTTTAATTATTCTTAAAATTATATTGTTAAAGAAATGAGGAGATCCGTTTATATCCGGTTAAATAAAAATAGACGTAGAAATATTAAACTATTAATTAAATTATATGCAGAGTTTCTAATTACAATGATCTGTTATTCTCAATGTTTTGTAATGTCTACTTACAATATAAACATAATTATCTGTCAAATACCAACTAGGACTTCTATCCGAGGGCCATAAGCGGTGCAGTGTCAAGGGTGCGCAGGCGCATGACCGGGTAACATGCGCACACGTTGTCGCTACATATTATACAGCAGAACATGTAATTGTCTACCGCCTAGTTATCAAAGGTGCTAGACTAGAAAATTGGTGGCATTATGAAATAAACATATTTTTTGACTTTTCGCACTATTCTAATTCTATATGTGTTGTTGATCTGTGCACATTAATTTACGTACTTATCCATAATGCTACAACAAAAAAATAACATTTACTGCAAAGCTAAACAACATAATATTATTTTTGATTTACGAAACAGTCAGTAGTCAGTAGCGTAAAATCCAAGGCGTTCTTAAATTGCTTAACTCCGGAGATCAATATCTTAAGCAACCTTACGGCCAAGCCAACTTACATTCAAAGATTATACGTTGATTGCTGAGTATAGACGACAGCAGATCATGCTATCCTAACCTGTCAAATTAAGCTAATTGATTTTCAACCTTATACTCCAGTAAAAGGGTTTAGAATCTATAAGATAATTTTGTAACACTCACTAGGTAGCTTGATGTGTTGTCGGGACCAGTTTAGCTAAGACACAGTTAGGGTCAACAGTCACTCGTCTAAAATAGGATAGTTGTCTTAATATGGGAAGTGACACTGTAACCTTCTGTACACAACAGCGAACCGCCTCTGTACTATACCTCTATATAAAACGGTCTAGAAAGCTAGTTTAGTTATTTTATACTAGTTACTTCCGCGCGGTTTCACACGCTCTCCTCAGCTCCTATTGGTCGTAGCGTGATGTTTTATAGCATAAAGCCATCCTCGATAAATGCGCTATCCAACACAAAAAGAATTATTCAAATCAGACTTGTAGTTACGGAGATTAGCGCGTTCAAATACACAAACAAAAAAACTAACTCTTCCGCTGTATACCTCTATAATAGTATAAGATGGACATTGATATTAGAATTACGAGAGCCATAGGAGTAAAATGTAGTGTTAGGACTTATCTTGTAAGTGCATACGCTTGTACTTACATAATTATATCGAGTGAGAACTCTTGCATTCAATTCTTAGGTTAGCCAAAGTATTATCAAGTAACATGACGTGATGTCATGTTACTTGATAATACTTTGGCTAACCTAAGATAAAAGCCGGGGATAAAAGGCGTGAGCCTTTTATCCCCGAAGGGGTAGGCAGAGGCAGATTACGGCACTAAATGCCACTGTACTATGTAACACCCACTTTTCACTATTTATGTTATGAGTCTCATGTAATAGGGGGTGGGCTTATTGCCATATGGCAATGTGCTACCATTGAGATTTTTTTTTAAAACCCTTTAACAATTTGCCCGACCCGGGAATCGAACCCGAGACCCCTTGCCCGGCAGTCGCACTTGCGACCACACGGCCAACGAGGCAGTATTATTAAGTATTTAAAGATTACCAATACCTACAGGGTCTGAATTTGTGCCGGTGCACAGCAATAGGTTTATCCCTTTCACATAACTCTAAACCTTTAACTTTTAATTTAAAACCATCTAAAAGGAAGTACCTTCTACTCCCTCCGGTAGGAACACAATTACTTCCTTCGGAGACAATGTGACGTGGTATTACATCAGTCGTAATTTAGAAGATTACAAAACAAGACGTATAAATAAATCAATGCACGCAAGTCACAGTGGCTGCACTCTATCGGCTACAACTTGTTCTCCGATACTAATTCATGTTATGCTCTGGTAACGCCCCAGTTAACTGTTATATATCGGGTGTATTCTGTAATATACATTAATACTAAATGATGAGGAAATTATTATAAAATATGCAGGAATCACATTCTCGAACAAAGGTGACACAAGAGTCGATTTAAAGTTATTGTTCCTAAATATAAACAAACTGTACCAAACAGTGGTGTCGATTATGTTAATAAAACTTGATTTTGTCTTCATTAAATATTATGGAAGATCGAGTATTATCAGGTACTAGCGGCCCGGTACGTGCTTCGCTACGTATAAAGTGAAATAAAATAAACAAATCGGAACATCAAATTCATTTATTTAATCAAAAAAATATTTTATTTAAAATCGAAATCAATTGCTAGCTATTTACAACACACTTAATCCAAAACATTTGGATAAACAATATTTTTTAATCCATCGTAACTACGATGAAGTTCCGAAACACGTTGCAATTGCTCATTTCTACGATGAAGTACAATATCACGGGATTGAAACTGATCACCAAGAATTACAATTGCAACCTCATCAATTGTTGGTGCGTACTTCATCGTAGAAATGTACAATTGCAACCTCATCAATTGTTGGTGCATTAAATCGCCTTGCATGCTCTCCAAAAGGTGTTCTATCAGCTCTTATTACGATTTTGTGATTATCAGTTGGCATACGATCGAGAGCAATTTTAAACAATTGAACTAATGCGTTATGCTGATGGAAAAACCTTTGTAGCTCACGAATAATTTCTCGTCTTGTATTCGAAACAATTGCACAACGTTGATCCAATTCACGATTTTCATCACCAATAAAATAAATTTGCAAAAATTGATGATCAGCGTCGGGGTATGGCAATAACGAACCAGCTTGATGATAAATCTGGCCCTGAATCTGTAACATGTATACAATTTTAGGTAAATCTTATATCAGTTTTTTTTTAAATATACTTTATGCTTCAGATTGATACAAACATGGAATAATCCTGTTGAAGTATTTACCTTAAACGTCGGCATAAAATTATCTCTAATAATTTTAGTTGCACCAAAAGAAGTCATTTGAAATGCCGAATTGTATTGTTGAATATGACTCAGAAAGTGCTTCGACGCTTGCGATGTCCCAAAAATAAATGAATACAATGGTTCGGGTGGAGTTTCTAATGCTGGCAATCTCACTTTGCCATTAGCACAACACATGCCGGGCGTTTCACCTGGAAAGTTAGCCGCATCACAATGTGGACATATTGCGTCCATCATTCCAATGTATCCATACATACTATAATCAATCTGACTGTTGTAATTAAAAGCAGCACGCATCATTTCAGCCAAAACAGCACGACGTATTCGTGATGGCCGTGCAAGATTCAGTACAGGTACTGGGTTAACAAATCCATTGCGTGCATTACGTTCACGCTGCGATGCATTAGCTTGTGCGCGTTCATCTGCAGTCTGTGATCGTCTTAGTAATGCCACATCATTTGCATTACGCGTTCGCCGACCTATATTTGCTCGTCTGGCTGGTGGCATTTTTCCCGTATGCACATATGTTTTCGCTTAAAAATCGAAAAAAAAAATTAAAAAAAAAAAAAAACAAATTCCCAAGAAGCTGTCGCATATGATGCTATGTGAAATCATATACGGCAACTTAGAAAAGTACACATAAATTCAGGACTCACCGTTTGTATGAATGCACTGCAAATGCAATTATGTGAAAAGAAATTTATCGCTGATAATATGCTTTAATCAAACCACGTCCAAAATGAACTGACGGCATGAATGACATAACAACGTGCTTGTCCTGTCAACAAAACTTCAAAAAAGTTTCTGTGAAAAAAGTTTCTATTGAATTCATTTATTACAAAAAATGTGACAAATGAGGAACCGCTCGACCGATTTTGTGCAAACTTCACATAAACCATCTACTAAATATGCCGACCAAATCCTAAGCATTTGGTTTGGATAGGTGAGCCCGTTCTTGAGTTATGGAATTACAACGAAAAGTGGCATTGATTTTTATATATATATCAGGTATTACAGAAACACGTCTGTTGTTTCCTGAAGGAAAGCAGCGACTATTTCACCTTCAAGATATACTTTCTGCATAAAATGTTACATGCACTATTATTTGTACAACGCGATGGACATGCTTTTTTATTACTTATTATTTTATTACAACGAATGAGGTTGAGCGTTATCGGTGCATTTTTGTTTATTACAATCTTCGATTAGATTCGCAAATTCTTTTGGTTCGCTACACCCGCTATACAGTTTCAGAATTCTATTTTTTAACAAATAAGTAGTTTACCCTACATAGGTACTTACTTACTTTCTGTTTATTCACTTAAATTATTTTGGAAACGTCTGAAAGAGATGTCTGTTTAAATTCTTTACTTTGAATGATGTATGCAATGAATGCAACAGCTAAATTGTTATTTAAAAAAGCTGCATTTCCAAAATGGCCGTCATGGATATTATTTAGCAATGAGTTGGGTAACGGCCGGTGCCGGGCGGTGAGAAATGACTTTAGTTTTTGTATCGCAAGGTCAACAGCTGATCAATTGTTTCTTGTGAATAAATACTCAAGTACCTACCTACTAAATACCTCTTTAATATTGTTATTTTTTTAATAAACATTGTTCCTATGATGCGGATAACGTTTAAGATGTGCCAAATTACATGGTGGTACGGGGTACGGGGTGTAAAATACCATCACGGCACTTGATTTAGTCCCAGCAGTAGTTGTAGGTCTCAAATAAAAAAATCTACTTAGGTACGTCACTTTAAAGAATGTTGAAGTAATTGTGTATGTATGTATGTACTTGAAACTTAATAGTTCCTGTCCACTATGATACAGTTATTGTATTGCTTGCTATAACTCCAAACAATAAGGTACCATCCTGGCCCCATATCGACAAGAATTAACTATGAATTTCCTGCAAAACAAGCTAGGTGCTTGTTGTTATGACAGACCCTATAGAGCGGTGAGTTTAGAGTAAATTAATAATTATTTGAGAAGGTATTCCTGTCGTACGGATATTGTTAGTAAACACTGCCCACTACCCGGTCGCTACCCGGGTCGGCCTGCGGATATTTACTACAAGCAGTCTTCCGTGCTTCGCTATTGTCGTTTGTTATTATTTAGAAGGTGAAAACTTTGTAAATATTGTCACTGTTACTCAGGTGGTCTAATTACACGTTCCTGTTGTTCACGTACGAGCAGGTACTTATTTGAGTTACCTAGTCATGTAATAAAATTTAATTTTAACCGTCTGCTTTAGAGGGGTATCTTCTACGCTCGTGATTATTAAAATTGAGTATTTACAGAACTTTTTGTGTACTTTGTAAGATTGTCTAACCGAATTAATCCCACCATATGGTCCTTCATTTTTTATGGTAAGATTTGTTTCTCTTAGAGGCGATTTTTTGCAGTCAGTGTAACATAAAAGTCCTAATTAAATAGTTCAAAGAAGTATTGTGCATTGTTTTATTACTGCGCATGTACTTGAGTACTGTCAGTCAAATAAAATGAATAGATAAGTACTGTATGGAAAAGATAAATTAGACACAAAAATACATTTCGGCAGTTCCACGCTTTTTAAACATGTTAATGACACATTGTATAGTGGCGACAACTATTGTACGAATAAGTATAGATAAGTGTCTAGTAGGTAGACAGACAGACAGACATGTGGTGTTGTCAAAAACTTTAACAAAAGAAACACGAGTGCTAGTGAAAACCAGTTTCAATTTTAATAGGAGACAGTGAAATAAAATTGACAAACAATTACATTCAATGAATGGTAGATTAGCTTAGATTAGATAAGAAAGATATCTGCTTCTCAGATCTAAATTCTCTGAATTTCCTAAAATAGTACCTACTTCGGTATTTTGTATCTACTTATAATTCAAAGTACCTAATGTTTAATGAGATTTAAACCTGATCTAATCTTTTCCCTTCCAGTTTATCGATCTATCACTAATGTGTAGATATGGTACTTATGGCGTATAGACTGCCTCGTTGGCCGAGTGGTCTCAAGTGCGACTGCCAGGCAAGGGGTTTCGGGTTCGATTCCCGGGCCGGGCAAGTATTACCTACTGTTTTTTTTTTAAATTTTTAGTAGTAACACGGAATTGTGCCCGGTACATAGGCTCATACTCTATTACATGGGACTTATACCATAAATAGTGGAAAGTAGGTGTTACACTGTACAGTGGCTTTAAGTGCCGTAATGTGTACATTGATGCAGAGGTGTACCTCTGCGTACCATTTCTGGGATAAAAGGCGATGTCATGTTATGTTATGTGGTACTCATCATCAATACGGAAGTGATCAAATACAAATCGCTTTATTTTTTTTTAATGAATGAGTACCACTATTTAATAGTTGAAACGATTGACAGTGCATATTGTGAAATGTAGGTACATACTTAACATCCACTTTTCGCTAGTAATTTTATAAATTCCACACAGTATTGCCAGAGGACAGGAAGGTAGGATTATAACTTTCACTGACTATTACTGAAATCTTACTCTGTCTCTTGATGCTTGAACCAAATCTAAGACCACTAGCTCGGCAGTCGACCAATGATGCAGTCACTTGTAACCTATTACATCACAGTTTACTGTCAACTACTGCAAGTTGAAGTACCACACTTACTGGTACCATTATGGTATTGTTTACTGTTTGATCAATGGTACCAGAAAGCCCTTATTGGGTGACTAGCAGTGACCACTGACCACGACAAGTGGAAAGTAGTGTCCAAGTAATCCAAGGTTGGTTGCACAACCTGCTCCGGTTAACTGACCGACCTCTAACCGAACTAGCACTTTTATCGAAATACTTTTTGGAAATATAGGTATCGGAAATTTTTATTTAAAACCTTCAATGGTTTGTTAAAAAAACAAATTAGTTATAGTTTGAACTCCTGTGGCTAGAGCTATTAAAATAATTAACAGCGTTGGACAAAAATTGTACATTTTCTGTTGCTCATTGGCGGAGTTCATAAAGATAACGACTGGATGTTGTTAGTTGTACATATGTAGTTGATGAATAAGTGCATGGATATTGCATATACATAACATCATGCCTTTTATCCCTGAAGGGGTAGGCAGAGGTGGACATTATGCCACTGTACAATGTAACACCCACTTTTCACTATTTATGTTATGAGTCCCATGTAATAGGGGGTGAGCCTATTGCCATATATCTGGCACAATTCCAGACTCCGTGCTACTACTGAGATTTATTTAAAAACCCAGTAATACTTTGCCCGATCCGGAATCGAACCCGAGACCCCTTGCTCGGCAGTCGCACTTGCGACCACTCGGCCAACGAGGCAGTATATTAATATGTATGGCTGTGTTATAACAATGTTAATTATAAGATTTTATATAGAGTGACAACATTATCGCATTGGGTGTAATAATCTGTTAGGATGTGTTGATTTAAAAAAAAAACATTAACATACCCTACTAGGCCTTTGTCTGAGAGCAAGTAGAAACTACATAATACTACCGTTATTAAGTAGGACTCCTACATACTTCTTTAGCTTCCAACACATCCATGCAAACAAGCCGATTAAGCAAACCTACTCTACAGCTGGCCTTTTCAAAAGATGTGTAAATTATTGGTACATTATACATGTTTATTTACGTTAAAGAACTTGGTACGCCACGTACCATATGAAAACATTGATAAAATAATTGCAATACCTTGGAGTAAGTTAGCGTAACAATTAAATAACACCATAGCACCATGTTATCCACAAAGTTAATGGCGTGTCTGTGACCAACGTGACGGGACGCGGCGTGACTCCACGCCGGCGCAGACGCAGGTGTTGGGATCTTGGGACTTCATGCCATAATGTATTTACATGGTATTAGAGGAAATTGAGTAGCTTAGTTTGTCATTGTGGTTTGGAATGTTCTTACAAGACCTTGCATGCTTGAATTGTATTTATTTATTTTCAGCCATGATGAAAACGGGTGCGTTTAGATGGGAGCGTTTCAAAACAGGAGCGCTACGAGGAATACATCATCGTCCCACTGCAGGACAATGGCCTCCCTAACGGGCTTAAATGAAACGGAGCTCTAAGCTATTACAGCTTCTCTATTTTATGACCTGTGTTAATTAATTTTGTACCTCTATTTAATTAATGCCACAATAACATAACATATTTTTATGCGTATCTGGCAAGTCTACATACGAATGTATCTTAAATACTTTTAATTTCAAACAAATTTACATAAACATCTGGTTTAATAAAAATAGTGAAGTGTAATACCTACGTATGTGTTTGTTTGTACTATTTTAGTTTGAACATTCGCTGCAGTTCGTGAGACAAGGAAAACTATTCGAGCTGTAAACTGGTTCTACAACCGGAATCGTGGGCTCACTCCCCGCGCCAGACAATCGTAGGATACCTAGTGTACCTAGATGTACCTACATACATTTTATACAAACTGGCTTTGATATGAAACAAGTGAATGCATTTCGAAAAAAACAAATGACAGCGGCATCAGTCAGCATACATGTGCATTGTGCAATGTGCATCGTGCTTATAAAAATACTATTAGAACGTAACTCATTAATACAAACTATTTCATCTATCTATCTATTTATATAAATAAAAATGAATTTGCTGTTCGTTAGTCTCGCCAAAACTCTATTGGCTTATTTTGGTCTTGATAGGTTCGTGGAAGTCTTGGGAAGGTTTAAAAGGTGAGAAAAAACTTTTAGGTGGTACGAAGTTTGCCGGGTCAGCTAGTTTGGAATACTTTTATGGTTGATACAGTAGAGTTCTGTAAATAAAACGTCAATTCGTCGATGGTTTCCGATGTAAGAATTGCACGCAAGTTTAATAACATTAATACCAATATTTCGATGCCGGAACATAACATCAGTTTCATGTGTAACTCTTAAACTGAAACCTGATCGTCATAGTAACTGTGTGTTTTATAAACTTAAGTTTAAGTTTTATAATGCAATCATACTTGTACACCGTGAAATCTATTTCGTTTTCGTTCCGAAACAACTTGCCATAAGGACTACTTTCGATGTATAAGTAAAAACAAAAAATAAAGATATCATTGTCTTTTAATTACAAACAAATTTTCGTGGAAATACGCACATGAAACACTAGACGTAAATTTGTAGGTACTGTTCGCATCGCACGTCCCACCCGACGAGAAATACACGGCGTGATGTTTTGATAATGTAGGTACTATGACTTCGTATGCACTTTAAAGTTTGTTTTTTGCAATGTTTCACCAGCTATTTTTTGTTTTAAACATTTCATTTCTTTGTAAAACTATTGTAGATATTTCCAAAACAGAACCATTTTACTTCGGGACGAAAACGAAATAAATTACACGGAGTATTGATGTACCTTATCTATGCATATAAAACGTAAGGAACTCACCAATCTGATGGAAACTAATATTTTGTGATACCGCAGTGAGTTTGTAACAAATCCTCTATCAATATCATAACACTAAATAATCAGGTTTAACCACTTTATCATCACTTACTGTTAAAAATACTCCAACAACTATTTATGCACTGCTTTCTAAGCTTCAGCCGTGTGTATCTCCAGATATGACAAGATAACACAGATTAAGATAAAATAAATAAGAGATTTTATCTTTTAAAATAAGATTTTGTATCGCCGGGTGCAACGATTCTTAACAAGGAGTGCAAAACAATCATGGCCAACTACTTCACCGAAACAGTTAATTTTGCGAAATTCTGAAAGAAATCCTTATTAATTATCGTAGCAGCTTAATTATATGACAAGATTTGCGAAAGTTGCCCAGTCAATCTTGCGAAATCGATCGAAAAATATCAAGTTTGTTACCGTCAAACAACTATCAAAATATTATCGGTGGATATTATTTATTGCGAAGCGGTAATAAAGACTTGGTTTCAATTCTGCCGAAACTCGTTTGTGCTCTCATCAACTTCATCAAGCGGGCAAAAGGAAGGTCGTGTAGAGGATAACTACTTACATGAAGTCGGCAAAGAACTAATTAGTTCTAGTATATAAGGTATAAAGTCATTGAACAACAAGTTTAGGTACTTCACATGGGATAATTTCAAAACATTATAAACACTAGAGATAAGAGTAAGTCAGTGACGTGGTGATATTATAGTTTTCATTGATTGAAAACGTCTATAGGTAAGTATGTTACCACTTGATGACTATGTTGTCACAGCTATTATGTCATTAAATACATAGGTATTATATTTACATATATTATTAATTATCCATCGCTAAAGAGCTTTT